CCTGGCCAGTTGCCACCCGAAAGAGCAAATCCGGGTTTCATACACAATAAATTCTTATTCGGGTGTCTTCCAGTGTTACGCCCTTCTTGTTGTATAACCCCTCGAGGATTCCATAGGGCGTAATTCGACGGTGAAACCACTGAATTCACCGTTAAAACACAATGAATCTACGGGGAAGTGAATGAGACGAATACTGATCAGTGCTAGCATAAGTCTTTACATAATGAAAGGATAGGAAATATTTGGCTCCCTTCCATTGTCTCATCTCCTTGACTGTGCGCATTCGGTTGCCATTAGGAACGTCCTCTCTTCTCTGTCAGGCTACAGTGAAGCAACGTCACTATCGAATGTGCATGCCCACACAAACCGCTCGCTGTCTCTTTTCAAAGTTGTCTTGACAATGATTGGAACATTGGTGTGAAGGCTACGCTGTGAAATCCACCGACATCAGAATAAGAGAACTTTGAGTGAAGATAACTTTTAAGAATGGATACACGGAAACTCTGATTTTAGGCGTTCTGTTACGTTCCCCAGCCTAAACCAAGCATCGTTACCGAGTAAAAACTATGTCAAATCAACTGCAAGTCAGTGCTAAGCAGTGTTTATATGGGTAAACTGCCGAAAGATACGGAGATAGGAACGTCCCTTATTCCAGATAGATTATGGTTTTGGCTAAGTTTAGGAATCATGTTAGCCTTGGGATTATTATTATGGTTTGGAAGATGGTGAGTGTTCAGGTTGGACTTATGATTCCATGCGATTTCTCCCTCGTGGAATTTCACGCAATGCCACCTGTATAGGCCAGGAGTGTATCTATTCCCATGTCTTACCAAAGGGGCACTCTGAATGAAGTTGAGTTTGAGCAGGAACCGCGTAAGGCTGTTACGGCTCTCACACGAGTTCGTCTCCTCAAACTACTCTCTGTGGTGGGGGTCGTACCTTGTTTGCCAATTCCATCTGCGCCCCACGTTCCAAAAACAGTTTTGCCACAGCCTCCTTGTTATTTTGGCAGGCGAGAAGCAGAGGCGTTGCTCCCGCGTAATCCGGGCAGTTAACATCGCCAGTGACATCGAGCAGGAATCGAGTTGTGTCTTCGTAGCCCCTGGCAGCGGACAGATGAAGGGGAGTGTAGCCAAACTGCAGGAAGGAAGAAAAGGACCTGAGAGAAATATCGAGGGAAGTTGAGTGTATACCGAGTTACAAGGTGACAAAGACTTTTGTGTAAAACCGACCGCAGTCACCTGGTCCTGCAAAATGAAAAAAAAGGACTGCGAATATGAGCAAACATACGAGTCCCAGGCAGTTATTGAGAAGAAGATTCGATCCCTGGGACAGCCCTTTTATTCGTCTTATGTTTTGACTTCCTTCGCGGATTATTCATCAGGGACGTGTGCAGAAATCAGTAGCAGAAATGGCTAACACATGCACAGAAAGCTGCAGCATTTATAGGACGGAGTCATTACTGCAATCAGAGATGATTGCCCTCTTGTGTTTTGATGGCTTGACTATCGGCATGCGGGCCCTGACTTTCTGAACTTCTATCACGCGTAGTGGAATTGGGCGTGATGATCGTTCGGCCATCTGGTGCCCCAGTAACATTACCTAAAAAGCCAGAGGAGACCGGAATTGCCAATTCTGGCCTATAAGCGGTCAACAATCAGCCATACCCAACCCAACATGTTCCGGCACCTGAGGCCTGAACCCATTATTAGGGCGGCCTAACAACA